TCATTTATTATACTGAATTAGTTCATTTATCTGGGATTAGCCCACAATCATTCATTGGTGTGAGTATAGTCCCGTGCAGCACCCTAATTTATAGTCCTCAAACATCACAAAGTTAAAGCAGTTTTGTAAAAAAGAATGGGCTTGAATTATTCCAAACCAATGCAGAAAATGATAAACACTGATAGGAAATGTTTAGTTTAAGGATTTTATTTTACTTAGCATTAACTCTGTTTGTGCTGTAGAAAACAGTGTTTGAACTTGAACTTGAACTTTATTGCCATATGTAACCGGTACATCTACTGGTACAACGGAATTTTTACAGAAATCTAGATTGTTAAAAAAAAGTGTATAACAAAAAGTTCAGACAGAGCATCAAGGCAATATACAAGCAAACAGTAGACAATGTACAAGTAAACAAGTAGACAATCTGAATGTAAAGAATGCAGACATGTAAACAATGACTGTGATAAATAAAATTACAGTGAGGTAGATGGTGTAGTTGTGGTCCGAGGGGCGTGACCAAATGTGTTAGCCAATCTCCTTGCTTGTGGGAAAAAGCTATTGAAGAATTTGGTGGTAAGTGGCCGTATGCTCTTTTATCTCTTGCCTGAGGGTATTGGGATGAAGAGCTCATGCCTGGGGTGGTGACTGTCCTCTGTGATGGCCAGAATTCTACCATGGCAGCAGTTTAATCACTGTGAGACCACAGCGGATGATCTTCTGGGCCACATTCACCGTTCTCTGCTGTGCCTTTCTCTCTCAAGAAGAGGTGTTGCCGTACCACACGGTGATCCCATTGGTGTGGATGCTCTCGATGGTGCAGCGGTAGAAGTTCACCAAAACAGTTACTGGTATTCCCCAATGCTTGAGGCACCTCAGGAAATAGAGGCGAATAGAGAGAACCTTCTCCAAGATAATGTCCTTCTTCACAGTCCAGGTTAGATCATTAGAAATGTGAATTCCCCAAAAATGGTGACAATGTTTCCACTTTCGTTCCATCAATACTGAGTGGGCTGTGGGATGTGAGCATGCAGCCTGTGTTTCTTAAAGCCACCTATTAGTTATTGCTATGACACCACCTCAGCAGCTGTACGACTTCTTCCCTGTAAGTGGACTTGTCATCATTGCTGATCAGGTACATTATAGTGGTGTCCTCTGCAAATGTAATGATGCAGTTGTTGCTGTGTCCTGCTGTGCAGTCATGAGTGAATAGGGAGTACAGCCTTGAGGGGTGCCAGTGCTCAGGGTGAGTGGTGTTGATGTTTTATTACCTATCTGCACCACCTGTGGTCTCTCAATTAGGAAGTCCAGCAGCCAGTTGCAGACAGTTGCACAGTCCTAGTCCCATGAGCTTTGTCACCAGTTGACTGGATATGATTGAATTGAATGCTGAACTGTAGTCCACAAACAGCATTCTCACATATGAGTTCTTAGAGTCCAGGTGTTCCAAGGCTGTTTGTAGAGCTAGGGAGACAGCATCATCCACCGTTCTGTTGTTCTGGTAGATGGACTGCAAGGGGTCCAGGGACTCTATGATGTCATGTTGAACCACGGTTTCTGATTGTGAAATGTCCACATTTTCTTTTATGGTACACAACTGTCGGCACAGTATTTAATATAGCTGGTGACTGTGTCTGTATACTCATTTAAATCTGTGTTGGGAGCTCTGAATGCATCTCAGTCTGTACAATCAAAGCAATCTATTAACCTGCTTTCCACCTCTTCAGACCAACAGTTCCCAATAGGAGAGGTCTTCAGCCTCTGTTTGCAGTCCGGAGCAACAGGAGAGTGATGTGGTCCGATTTGCCGAAACTTGGTTTGGGAAGCGCTTTGTATGCTCCTTTTATTGTTGTGTAGCAGTGGTCCAAAATATTGCCTTTTCTTGTTGGTACGGTGACATGCTGAATGTACAGATGCAGCCATCAATTGTCACAAAGTATATAAATGTACAATAATATTGTCAGAAGGAGCATGTAAAAACGTTTCCGAAATAACTACATGTAAGACTTTGATGCTTAAAATGTTTAGGGAGAAATGGAATACTGGTGTGTATTTTTTCTTTAAACTACCAAGACCAGTAATATACAGTACAGTTTACATAACATGTTTATGTTCCTAAATTAATATAGTTTATGAGCATGTGAAAAGCATGGTGAATCGAAAATTCTCATGACTTACTTTGTATGATTAGAAACAAATACGTGATCGGATCAACTAAATGCTGTGGTGTTACTTTTTGTCAATGAAAAAATAAAGTCTTTTCATTTACAAAGACGATTACAAAGAATGTGGACCAGGGTAATACTTTGTGTTTACGGCTTGTCCAAGGTCATTCATTATTAATACTATTAGTAATATCTTGATAAAAGACTTTGATGCATAAAATATTTCTGCATAATTAAAATATTTATGATAAAGGTGGTAGGTTGTGTACTTTTGTCCAACTGAGCAATCTTGCTTTCATAAAATATACCAACTTTTTAATGTATAATGATTAACATGCTGTAATATGCAGTTTAAATTTAAAAGTCTAAAGAGTATACAACTAGATGTTTTCTGGTGACAACTCAAATGTTGTACATGAGAGGCTAAGCTTTATTAGCTCCACCTGCTGGTTTTACAAGGTGATTCCGGATACTATTAACATAATCTATTTTGCATACGGTATAATGCGGTATGCTACGACACGCCCACCGCATTGTACAGCAGCATACCCTGCTTGTTTTGAATGGCTGCATCTGTATTAATGCAGTACTTCCCTCGGATTGCAGTGATTGAGGTCCCCCACTACAATTGAGACCGCTTCTGGGTAAGAGTTTTGTATTTACTGATAATGACGTAGAGTTCGCTGTGTGCTGCTTCCATGCGGGCTTGAGGTTGAAAGTAAACGTCCTTAATAATGGTGGCAGAAAACTCCCTCGGCAAATAAAAAGGTCGACATTTTATGGTCAGGTGTTCTAGAGGATGAGCAGGATTAAGAGATTACCTCTATGTTGGTGCACCATTTGCTGTTGACCAGGAAGCAAATGCCTCCTCCTTTGTGTTTGTCGGTTGCTTGGCGGTAAACGGTGAACCCCTTTGGTTGGATGGTGGTGTTCTGGATGCATACATTCGGCCAGGTTTCAGTGAAGGCATACACACAGAATTCCCTCAGGTCCCTTTCGGTGTTGATCCGACAGTGTAGCTCGTCTATCTTATTGTCCAGTGACTGAACATTAGCTAACAATATAGACGGCAGTGGTGTCCTGTGTGGACGCCTCAGTAGACATGCTAGTATGCCGCCTCGTCTCCCCCGGCATCTGCCCACCTATTGTTGTTGTTCGACCGCATCTCTGTCCAGTCCGGCAGCTTGGGTTCGGTACGTAAAAAAAGTTGTTTGATGACCCTAAGGAGTCTGTCCTTAGGTTTAAAAATGTTTGTCTGCCATAAGTAATGACAGCCATTAAGCATCCAACACAAAAGAAGAGCATTAACATATAAATAAACATTAAAACAGTCACACAATGAGAGAGCTTTCTGTAAACCATCGTCATCTTGCTGGTGCCAGATCCTTGTGCAGTTTTGGTTCCTGGACATTTTTTTTTCTCTGCTCCACTATAGTGGGGCAGGAGAACTGAATTATCTGTTGTTTTTTACTGACCTGTTTGTGTTTATTTGCTCTTAAATATAGTATAATTCTGTAAGGTTTTAAAGCCACTACAGTATGTATATAATTAATATTGTTTTATGATCAAATTCTAAAATACATTTTTGAATTACTTTTTTACTTATATTTTTTTATCATTCAGACAAATAAAGATTATTTAATTTGTATTTAAACATGAAAAAAAACGTCAGACATTTTTTAAAGTAACCACGGTAAGTGACAAGTTAAGATTAAAATGTTTATAAAGATGGAAAATTGTTGCATGCCTTTTTTTTGATACCACTGCTAGCTATAAACAGTATGTTTATTATATTTCTACTCGTAAATTAATAAAATAATTGATGTACAGAGAAGTTTTTATACTTCACTTATTTTTATTTTCATCTATCAAGATTTCCCTTTAGTTACATAATTCCATATTATATTCCATATTAAGTGGATCTGAAGAAGTATAGTAGCGGAACAGATTAAATGAAGCAATCTTTTTGCTAACACCTAACAACACAGTGTATTGTATAGTGTACTGTATATGTATTGATCATCTTTGGCCTGTAAATCACACAGCCAAATCACACCGTGATGTAATGCAACATGTTTAACATGGCAGTGAGTTCTGCCATATATACTGAGTGGCTTCATCTGTATTTTTTACATTATGATGAGCCCTCATTAAAGGAAATAAGTGAGGTTCTTGACTCCACTGCCTGGGAGTCGACCTAAGGATTTATTTACACCATTGTGTCTATTGCATCAGTGAACATTGGTGTGCACTGGGACCATGTATGGTCAATAGGACTGAGAACCATGATGGTGTAGCTGCTTCCTCACAGATGAAATGTTGTAGTTATCCAAGTTTCTGATGCAGTCAGCATGGCAGTATGAGAATAATCATGTTCATGGAGCATGATGATATGTTGATCTTGTAGAGGTGTCAAAGCCAATCACTGATATATTGCCAAATAGAAGTTACTACTTGGGAACATTCCAGGTGGCAGGTGACAGTGAACAGTGCACTGGCTGAGTCCAAGCACAAAGACATTCTCTTAAAAGAGCGTGATATATTGATTCCTTTCTGTGTTTGTCTTTCTTAATTTTTATTAGTCATTTAATTATCAACAAGTTAGTTCATTTCATCACCTTTGCTTGATCCATTATCTCCCTGATAAGGTGATTTAGTGTTTATGTAACTGTGAAAGTTATTTGGGTGAATCATAGTCATAATTGATCAATTCATCAAAATTAACACAAAAACATTTAATCAACATTCAAAATTAACCCATATCATTTATTTTTCTAAAAACATATTAAAATTGAATATGTTTATATTTATAAGCTCACAAATATAAATACTCACCAGCCTGTGCCAGGATGAACTCCTGGAATCTCATTCCTATCTTATTGCTGGCTGTGCAGTTATATCGACCAAAATCTCGTTCAGACATTGGAGTTACCTAAAAAAACACAAAAACATCAAGATTTTTTTTTCTAGAATAACAGATAGGGACCTAAGATCTAAACTTACATGTGTGTACAATCAAAATTGCACATGTATATTATTAGATTTCCAGAATTATTTATGTCTTAATTTACATGATTGAAATAATGTTGGGCCTGGATTTACTTGAAATACATTAGATTTAACATTTATAAACAATGAGTCTGTTTTAAATCTAAATATATACCCAAGTTGCAATTATCCATTAAGACTTGTCTCCCTGGCAAAGAATCATGTACCTGCATAAACAGAACAGGGATATCTTCAATTATATATCAATATACAATTTAATATAATATAAACAATTACCTCTAATATGCCTACCTGTAAGAGTCATTCACTTTGGACAAATTTCAAGTTCTAAACCACCTGATAGGAGAGTTAGCACTATTGGAAGAACACTGCATCACTCACTGGCATCATGGCAATATTACCCATGTTTCCAAATACAAATGTTATAAATCAGCATTGTGCTTCAAAACTTCAGGGCCCTAGGTTTAATTTCAAGATCATCTTAGGTGGAGCTTGCATATTTCCCCTATTTTGTCAGGTTTTCTGATTTCCTTCCACCTCCCACAAAATATACTTGGCTAGGTTTGATTGGATATTATGAAGTTTCTATTTTTGTGAACCTCATTCCATCTTTTAATTATATTCTGTACTTTTGGGTTATGGGAGGCTAGAGTCTAATCCTCACTAGGATATGTGGCTTACTGATATTGTAGATATAGATGAACTATAAATGTTTTTATATTAAAAAGTTTAAATCACTAAGTCATAAGACGTTTTCAGAATAATGACACTTTTTAATGTATGAACTGCTTAAGTATTGTTTTTGCAACTGAACTACATTATTGAATAGTATTTTCTTAAATGTTTAGCATAGCCAGGCTCATTCATATAATGCATGTTTGCAATGCACTATAAAGATTAAGAATAAAATTTTATGTTTGAACATTTCAGAAATCTGTTACTGACCTCTAGCAGAGATCTCCCATCAGTATTGTATACTCTGGTGTGGCCTGTGCCCTCCCCTGATATTGTCATCTTGTTCCTCTTCCAAAGTATGGAGGCCAGAGGATTTGCTATGACATCACAACTGATATTGATGGGGTTTCCTTCCCAAGAGAAGTAGATGGTGTAATTAGATAGAAACGTGGGAGCATCTAATAAAAAAGAGGAAAAACAGAAAAAAGCATATATATTTTCTTTCACAAATATGACATGATTTTATTAATATCAATATGTATTTTAATATGTCAGTCTTTTAAAAAATAATTATTTTAATTATTGTTGGTTCATAGTATGCCAAAATGGAATGCTTTGAAAGTTGTATAACAATGTAACATGTTCGGGGATAAAAATAATAACATGCAATCCACAACTTTTTACAAGTTACTTTTGATTATATAAAACACACTTAATGTTTTTAATGATAATACCACATTAATACTGCATAAAATGAATGATTGTGAAACAAGTAACCTCAATCCCCAAAAGTTCTGATATTGTTAACATATAGAATATATATATAGAATACATACATACAGAATATATTTGTCATCCTGCACAATGATAAAGTGTTAATTATTCATGACACATCACATTCTTTGCCACTGGTATTTTTATTTCATGAAGGGTTCTGTTAAAAGGATAGGAGAGCCAAAAACATCCAAAAAAACATCCCCATACAATGAGAAACCTGACCCTAATAAGATTTTTTGATTTGGGCACAATTGTCAATCAAGCCTTATTTACAGCACAGTATCTCTGATGAAAAATAAAGTATGTCACAAGCTGATAAAGCACCAAAGGAAAAAAAAAACGCCAGCGACTGTTTCCATATTTACTTGAGATCCATATTCTGTCATTTCTAAGCACACAGAACTTTATTACTAAATGTTATCTTGATGTTAGCAACAATTAAGGGTGTTACATTTGGGCAGGAGCCTGCAACTTTATTACTTTTGTGGATATATTATGCTTACTAACAGGATTTCATTAGCTTCATTAGAGCACTGGTTATCAGTTCCTGCATGCGGTTCATGGCAAGGGTGTTTTATGAGTGTTTTGGCACAAAGCAAAGCCCACATTCTCGCTGATAGCAATGTCATCATGATATTTTAGCTGATCGCTGAATCTAATACTGTACTATCATTACAATAACTGAAAGCTTTATTACTTCTGGAACTCTGCATTGAATACTATTCAAACAAAATGCTATAGATTCCCATTTATTAACCTCATACATGGAATACATTTCCCACTATCTAAGAATTCCATTTGTATTGTTCTTAAAAAATATATACTGGATCTCTACATACTGTTTATGCTATTTTATTTGCATGCAAAAACAGTTAGAAAATAACAGGATTTGCTAATTAAACATATACAGTTTAAGGCAAAAGTCAGTGAACCCCTCAGTATTTTCACATTAATCACATATTTGAAAACTAATATGTTCTGGATTTTGATTTAAGTCATAATAATAGAAAAAGGTAACCTGAATAACAAAATACACAGAGCACAATACTCAATTTCAACATTTGTTTATCCTGAATGAAGCAACATTCAGTATCCATGTATGACAAAGCATGTGAACCTTTAGATTCAAGGGGTGGCATCCTCTTGAGCAACAATGACTGCAACTAAACACTTCCTGTAACCATTGATCAGTCTCCCACCTCACATTTGTCTAGATAAATTTTGGCCTATTCCTATTTACAGAGCTCTATCAGCTCTGTTTATTTGAGGGCTGACTTGCATGGAGAGTTTACTTTAGGTCCTGCTACAACATTTCGATGGGTTTTTGGTGTCAATTTTAACTAACTAGGCCACTGTAAAACAAAGTATCTTCTTCTGCAGCCATTCTTTTGTAGATCTATTCATGTGTTTATGATTATTGTCTTGCTGTAAGTCTCACTTTGAGTTCAGCTTCAGGTTGCAGGTGGCCTGACATTTTCTAGAATCTTCTAATACAATGCTGAATTCATGGTAGTGTCAATGATGGCAAACTACAGATGCAGCCATTCAAAATTGGTGGGGTATTTCGCTGTTTTCCCCGGTTGGCGTGTCGCAGTATCACGCAGTATCACGGGGTTAATCGCGTCATTTGACGTCATGCCGGAAAATATCCGCCATCACCTTGTAAAACCGCCAGGAGGAGCCAATAAAGCTCTCATGTACAGCATTTGAGCTTTTAAATTTAAACTGTGTATTACAGCATGTTAATCATCAGTCATTAAAA